ATTAAAACAAGCCTTGTTATTCCCCTTAGCGGTTTATTAAAGAAGCTAAAGGTTCTGAAGCTTCCAATTCATTTTTTTTTTTTTTTTTTAATGTCATTAGAGAAAGGCTGGCTTATATTTTGTAAGACAGTAGAAAAACCCCGCCAGTGTCAAAATTTTATGAGGGCATATTCCTCATTTTATCTTCCAAAGACAACCTTGCTTCGTGTTCATAGTTCAATTAACAGGGTTGGATAGAGAAAAGCTGGAAGTCACATATATTTGGTGGCCTATCAAGCCCCGGGGAGCTTTTCTACCGGGGTGAACTGCGACACAGTTGATTTCAATCAGGAAGCCGAACAGGAAAGAGCCCTGCTCTTCCCACAAGCAGCTATGTAGTTCTCTGAACCTCTCCCCTCACCGCCCTCCTTAAGCAAGAAAGCTCCTTTACGCAACTGCGAGGAAATCGGATTGGTTACACCGAGACACGACTCCGGGCATCACCGGGGCCTCTTTCTGCCATGTCCTTAGCTGTCACCTCCACCCCGCTTCCTACCTCCCATTCCTGCACACTCTGCCTTCGCCACGGAGGCCACTAAACGCACTTTACCCTCACTTCTCATCCAGAACAAGCGGCCCTGAGGGACACACGCCCCCCGCACCATCAAGCCCCCGGCCGCAGCCGGCCAGGCCGCGGGGCCTAGAGAAGGCCTCTCCCCCGTCTTTGTGTTCCCGGGGCCTGACCTCCCCCCCTCATCCCTTCCCCAGGGCCGCGCCGCTCCCCCCGCAGCGCTGAGGGAAGCCGGGGCCAAGCGCTGAGCCCCGCTCCCCGCGGGCACCACCACCCCGCCCGTCCCCCCCCACAACCTCGTCCTTTAACCCGCACCCCGCACCGCAGCCTCTGAGGGGGGATTTAAACCAGAACCCGGAAGCCGGGGCGGCCGGCGCGGGGGACGGTGGGATTTGTAGTCCCGCTTCCCTCGGCGGGAGCCCCGCCGCTCAGCCGCGGGGCCGGGGCGGGGAAACCACAATTCCCCTGAGCCTCCGCGGCCGCCACCGCCCCAGGAACGCAGGCGCAGTGCGGGGGGTTGGTTTTTGAATCCGCGGCGTTGTTATTGACGCCATATTGCTGGTGTGGGAGTCACACAGGGAAGCGCCGCCGCCGCCGCCGCCCGGGCCCCGCCGCCATCGCTCGTCATCGGCGGCCCAGCACCGGGTAGCCGGGCCCGGCCCCGCTCCCCTCGGCCCACCTCCCGTTCCGCTACCGGCCGCGGGCGGAATTGACCCGGCTAAGGCAGGGCAGGGCCGGTGGTGAGAGCGGGGAGCCAGCCGGCCGAGCCGGAGCCGCTGAGGGGGCCGGGGCCGCTCCCCAGAGAGAGGCCGACAGGGAGGCGGCGGAGGCCCTGACGCAGCTGCCCCCTCCTTTCCCTGCCGCCCTCCCTTCCCTCCCCCCCAAGCCCGCCCCAGACAGCGGGGAAGGCGCCTCTGGGCAGGGCCGGCTGCTGCCACCACCACCGCCGCCGTCGCCGCCGTCTCCCCTTCCCCTCGCTCCGAGCCCCCTTCCTCCGCCCGGCCGCCGCCCCCCGCCATGGCTTGCGGCGCCACTTTGAAAAGGACTCTGGATTTCGACCCGCTGCTCAGCCCGGCGTCCCCGAAGCGGAGGCGATGTGCGCCATTGTCAGCCCCGGCCTCGGCCGCCGCCTCCTCCTCCTCTTCTTTCGCCGCCGCCGCCTCCTCCCCGCAGAAATACCTGCGCATGGAGCCCTCGCCCTTCGGAGAGGTGTCGTCCCGGCTCACCACAGGTAAGGGAGGGTGGCCCCGCCGTGCCCGGCAACCCCCCGGGGAAG